AAAAAAACAATAGACAAACCCACAGTTTTCCTTCCAAATGAGTTGTTTGGAGACGTATGGAGAAGAATGGAGTCACGGGGAGGAATGCAGCCATTGTGTCCTTATACAATATGGGACTTCCTTCAGATGCCCGACGCCACAAACAAACAGGAGCACACATACGTTAGCGGTGAATAGCACCCACTTCCTCTGGAGATGTGGATGGAGGAGAGGAGGGGGGGATGAGAGGGGGGGGGGGGGGGGGGGAGAGGCTTAAGATAGAGCCTCAGTCCGATTTCGTTTCAGTTCAGACCTCTGGACACCGATGGCTCACATCTGCCCACATCTGGATAACTTCATATGCCCAACTGACCCTTTTTCCCACGTTCAGGGATTTAAGTTACTCTGAAAAACCGTGTTGGAAACTTTTGGAGTTTTTGGGGAGAGGCTGCCTTGCTCAAAAGCACCAAAGAGAAAGCAGCAAAGGAAGGAAGCGTCCGTTTTTTGTTAATTTCTCAAATCTTTTCTCAGTTTGCTGCCATCAATCCGTCCGTTTCTTCCCTCTAAATCAGGTAATTAATACTTTCACATTACCTGATCTACACGTTGATTTCTTAGTTTTAAGATAAAGCTGTCTGATAATAACCTGATCTTTAAAAATGTCATAATCCACATGATCAATGTTCTATTGAAATACATGACAGTTTAAAACACTTATTTGTCTATTAAACTCTCTTAAAAGTACATTTAAAAATAATAGAAATACAGAAATAGATTCAGGCAAATAAAAAAAAAGGCAAAAACATCCATTTCTGTAACAAATTTAATAGTTAATCTGACTGATGGGCTTTCATGATTTTAGATCATGAAACAAATTTATTCTGGATATTTTTGATTGATTATGTTGCCAAAAGTCTGAGCGATTAATCATTTAATATTGCAAATCAGCAGTGTGAAGAAATGTCCTTTATGTGTGTGTGTGTGTGTGTGTGTGTGTGTGTGTAGGTGTGTGTGTGTGTGTGTGTGTGTGTTCCCGTTATCAAGACAGGATGCAGAACAATACTAAGTGCTGTGCAACGAACACACACATTGGCACACACACACACACACACACACACACACACACACACACACACACAC